ACACAGAGACAGTCAACATCACGCTTAATGTAGTTTAGTTTGGGGCTTGCGACGCCAGGCAGAGGCTGAGGAAGCTGGGATTTAATGATGAACATATAAATACAATGCTATCTGCTTCAAGCACGCCCCTTTCCAAACTTGACTCTTTTGTATTCAGCGAACACTTAGCAAACATTTTTTCCCCATACCTTTCTGCGCCATCTCTTGAAAAGCAAGCCTCGGTTTTGCATTGTTTTCCGCCTCATCCGTCTCGTCCGAAAAAAAAAATGACGCCGTTTGAGCAACTCTTACGCGTTTCTCACGATGTAAAATTTGAACCTGGAGTAAAAGGCAGATTCCTGACGATCTGCCTACTCAGACTGGCCCAACCAGCTTTCAAATTTAATAGATCTAGGGGGGGAGTAATATCTCCATCGTAATTATGTACCAAGTAAACAACTTGAACACCAAACATTTCGCACATCCAGATTTTTCATTCATCAAATCTGAGACAGTACGGATCTCCAGATCGCGTCCCGACAACAATCATATCCTACCTGGAGTCCCAGCGCGTTATCTTCCCCATAAAATCGAAGTCGAGGGGTAATTCGGCGACTTCCCGTCCATTTCGGTGGATTTCAGTGTCGATTGCTGTGAGCTTCTTGAACTCCGGGAATCCCAGAACTTCTGATTCGGAAATGAGCTCCTCTCCAGTTAGTGCGTCGAACCCTCGGACTATAACATTGTCCGGCACAAGCCGGTAAGAGCCAATACCAGACGACGAGGTATTTGCCATCCGCGGAATATTCCAGCTTCACTTCATGCAATTCCACTCTGTCGACCACCGTATCGATTGTCTTCTGGAGCAGGACATCTCCGGTGCTGAAATCTATTACCGTGATATCGAGGCCAAGCTTCTGGCCGCGCGTGGTCCACTCAAATTCATCTTGTGTAATCTCCATTTTCCCCGGAGTGTTGGAACAGTGAAGTGTGCAAATCCTTGTGTCATCGGCTGAGAATGCGACGGCAAAACAGTCGAGATCGGGATGAAGGAATGGACCAAGTAGGAGAGTTCCTTCGGGGACAGTCCACACTTGAAGCGTATAATACCTGGTGATCATAGCCAGCCTCAAGCCATTGGTGAAAATTTGACAGATACGAGTCGGTCAGAGTGCTTCAATGGCTCGCAGCGCAGGTTCCCAGATGCAGTATCCCAGAGACAAACAGTCCCGTCGTGGGACCCGGATGCAAGCATCGTGTCATCTGGAGAAAAATCAAGTGCCACTACTGGAGCGGTGTGCTGCTGCATTGAAGAGAACAACTCAGTCCCCTCCATCTCCCACACAATGAACGAATTGTCTGCGGAGGCGGAAGCGAAGTTGGTTCGTTTATGGGCCAAACCAACAGACGTGAGGTATCTTGTGGGGCTCGGCCGAGATACAGCCTGCGGACGCATATTAGCTAGACTCCACACACAAATGTGCGAGTCCTGCGAGCCTGAAATAACCGTCTTGTCGTCAGGAGAAAATACCAGACACGTAACAGGATGGCGGTGAAGCGAGAATGGGGGCATAACTTCCTGGCCGGTTTCGCAATCCCAGATTCTGATGTTGTTTCGCCACGTTCCGGTTGCTAGTCGAGTCCCTGTGTGCGAGAACGCTACTGCAGAGACATATTCCCCAGGGCCATGGCGGCAAGTTAGAAGTAGTAAGCCCGTTTTTACATCCCACACTTTCATTGTTTCGTCGCCGGAAACCGACGATATCTTTGAATCGTCTGGAGCGAAGGCGACACCGAGAACAACATCGGTATGCCCACGGAATGTCTTTTGGTGGACACCGGTCCGAGACCACAGACTAAGAGCACTGTCGTTGGATCCCGAAGCCACCAATTCCTGATTATGGGAAAAGGCAACACTTGTGACCATATCATCGTGGCCTTCCAATAGGGGAGTGAGTTCAAGGCGGGTTTGCATGTTTCATATCTGCAGCATGCCATCCCTGAACCCGAAGACGACTGTGTCGTCATCGCCCGCCAGGGCAGCACAAATTAATCGTTTTTTCCCGCCTTGGCCTGCGTGGCGAACTGGGAGGCTGTCGAGAATCTTCCCAGTCTCGACGTCCCAGATCTCGACGATGGATTGAGCTTCTTCGAAGATTCGCGTTCCGTCGGAGGAAATGAGAGTAAACAATGTATAACGACCGAGTCCGCCCGGTGTAGAAAGAAGCTCTGTGCCCGTGGCGGTGTTCCAAACTTTCGAACTACCGCTTGCGCAGCAGGCGACCGTTACATCCCCGGATTTCGAAAGCTTTATGGACAGAATAGCAGTGGAGAACTTGGCCAGCGTCATCAGGCAGGGACTCCAGTCTAGCAGACAACCCGATGTAGCAGTGAATCCGGTATGATTATTCAGGGCAAAAATCGAGGTGTTTTGGGGACAAAATTTCAGGGCCGTATCGTAGACCAAAGAAGGGCGGATTTCGATAGTCATTGGAAACGCGTTCATGAATTGCCAACCATCATAGAGGAGCATGCTGAATGAGGAATCGAATGCGGATGACTGTGTTCAATAGACAGGTTGTGCAAAGCCGCACAGAACCGCATGCGGCTTTTGGACAGTGTGCAAAGCCGCGCAGGAAAAAATGAATTGGGTGTTCAAACAGCCTACATTTCAATAGAATGCATTGTATTCAAGTGTATGAAACCCTCTGATTCAGATCAGCTATCTGGAGTCCACTGAACCCGGCTAAAATGCAGCCCAAGTGCAACCATCAATCTCTCGTGTCATGTCAAAATACGGCATTCTTGTGCTTTTCTCAGGGTGAAATTGAACTATACCGTAGATGCAGAATTGTTGGGCACAGAAGACTAATTTGAGGAATTAATAATGGTATTTGACTCACACGGAACATAAATCCCGTGCGGCTTTGCACAATGGCCAAAAGCCGCGTGCGGCTCTGTGCGGCTTTGCACAACCTGTCTAATATAGTTCCATGGCAAGTTTGCTACAAGTGCCCGATTACCGAGTGCGGATTGAACTCTGTAGTCTGTGCATTTTCCGCTCTCTCGTATTTAAATTGATGATTTGGTTCCCTAGTTGCGGGGGCGTCAGCTATGCCGTTTCTTCCGGGGGCGGATTGGTTGTTCGCCTCGATTCAAGTACCATTGATGAATAACCATCGTCTGGACACAAAAGATTCTCCAACGGCGGAATGGAATCATGCTTTTCCACCGTGAGTTATTCGCAAATATTGCGCTCCTTTTCACTGAACCCCAGGAGTTTGACTCTACCCCTGTCAACCGTCATTGAATTCAGAATAAGAAAACGACAATTGATGAGGAATAAACTCCTGGCAATCACGGATATAACGCTTCGGGACATACTCAAAATGGTGAACGAACAGAACTGTAAGACGGTTACTGTAAGGGGAACCCCCGATCGGCACCGGATCGGTCCCCGATCCAGTGGTACTACCACCCCGACCTGGCCGCCGATCGGCTGCCAGCTCGTCAATACAATTACCGGCCGCTGGACTTCCGGATGGCATTCCGCTTGTGACCAAGCCCGGGACATTTGCCGATCACTCCGATCACATGATCCTAGTCAGTAGCTAATTATACTCACGGCCGGCATGGGAATCCTCTCACAAGCGGAATGCCATCCGGAAGTCCAGCGGCCGGTAATTGTATCGACGAGCTGGCAGCCGATCGGCGGCCAGGTCGGGGTGGTAGTACCACTGGATCGGGGACCGATCCGGTGCCGATCGGGGGTTCCCCTTACAGTAACCGTCTTACAGTTCTGTTCGTTCACCATTTTGAGTATGTCCCGAAGCGTTATATCCGTGATTGCCAGGAGTTTATTCCTCATCAATTGTCGTTTTCTTATTCTGAATTCAATGACGGTTGACAGGGGTAGAGTCAAACTCCTGGGGTTCAGTGAAAAGGAGCGCAATATTTGCGAATAACTCACGGTGGAAAAGCATGATTCCATTCCGCCGTTGGAGAATCTTTTGTGTCCAGACGATGGTTATTCATCAATGGTACTTGAATCGAGGCGAACAACCAATCCGCCCCCGGAAGAAACGGCATAGCTGACGCCCCCGCAACTAGGGAACCAAATCATCAATTTAAATACGAGAGAGCGGAAAATGCACAGACTACAGAGTTCAATCCGCACTCGGTAATCGGGCACTTGTAGCAAACTTGCCATGGAACTATATTAGACAGGTTGTGCAAAGCCGCACAGAGCCGCACGCGGCTTTTGGCCATTGTGCAAAGCCGCACGGGATTTATGTTCCGTGTGAGTCAAATACCATTATTAATTCCTCAAATTAGTCTTCTGTGCCCAACAATTCTGCATCTACGGTATAGTTCAATTTCACCCTGAGAAAAGCACAAGAATGCCGTATTTTGACATGACACGAGAGATTGATGGTTGCACTTGGGCTGCATTTTAGCCGGGTTCAGTGGACTCCAGATAGCTGATCTGAATCAGAGGGTTTCATACACTTGAATACAATGCATTCTATTGAAATGTAGGCTGTTTGAACACCCAATTCATTTTTTCCTGCGCGGCTTTGCACACTGTCCAAAAGCCGCATGCGGCTCTGTGCGGCTTTGCACAACCTGTCTATTGTAGAGGCCTGAAGGAGAGAGAGATTGAATGGGATACAGCCCTTTTTTATTATTTTTATTTTTATTTTTAATTCCATGTTATTTGCCCCTCGCCTCGTAAGGCATGTTAGGCATACTTCGACACAAGGTAGGTACTGGGTGATATGTAAAGAACTTAGTAGCTAGATATGTCGGAAAACCTAAAGTAGGGTTTCAAGGCCTTGGAATGCCTTGAAAGGCCTTAAGATCACATGACCTTGGAAGTGACTTGGCACTTGGGAGTCGCATTGGAAGGCATGGATGGGCCTTGTAAGGACATTATACATGCTAAGGTCTTGAAAGCGATCGCCTGAGGGCGAAGCAAAATTAATTGCCTTATTTCAATTTCCTAGTTAGTTTTTGTTGACTGACTAAGGTGGGGATTGAACCCACGACCCTCTAAAATGTCAGTCATAACTGATTGAAGACAAATATAGCCATTCCACCACGCAGGCTTTTCTATATCTGTTTATCAGGTTGATTTATTACACCTCGAGTCTTGTCTCCCATAGCAAATAATAATAATAAGGAATCTCTATTGACATCCTTCCTCGCCACACCACGTCCACTGCTCCGGGGCTCATGAACTCTGTTGTGCACGACTCGGGCACAACACCCCGGCGCAGCATCGGCTCCTCGGCGAGCACACCACCCTCCATGTGCTGACCACCCGTGTCAAGCCTGGGATGTTCAGATGAAAGACACACGAGGGCAGCGACGTGCAGATGGCGGCGCTGTAGGGGAGCGAAACGGAACGTTGAGTCATCGACGGAAAATGAGGAGGCGACGGAACGAACCGAAGCCGACCAGATTACACAGAATGTTACAGTGTGTGCAGGACGCGCACATCCTATCTCTGGTGGCACTTGGCCCACTGAGATGTCCACCTGCTCTGCACATATGTCTGCCCAGGGACTGTGGATGTGGATCAATAATAACATCCCCTCGTCTCGGCAGCAACACGTCTCGTGCGCAAGCGTGTGGCGCACAAGGGATTCGCTGCCGTTGGCATTGCGGGAGGCGGGCACAGAATGGGCTTCCGCTGGTGGAATCTCACCGACGACACCGCTGCACCGCACCCCCGCCCACGCCTAAGCCTTGCTCTCCTCCAAGTCAGACCAGCCTGAAGGTGCGCGCCAAACGTCACTCGATAGCATCATCTGCCAAAAAATCGTCCAGCCGCCGATCTGCCTCCTCACCCTCACCATCACATCCCCGTTCACCTTCAGCCCCCTGTTGCCGCCATGCATTGTGGTCCACTATCTGGTGCACGAAACGCGGCACCGGTTCGTCCCTGTTTGCGGCACCTCGCCGCCCCGGTATCGAATGCTGATGAAACAGTGATGCGGAGCACCACAAGGAACGGGTAACCGCAGATTACGCGACTCGCACAACGCCGAGTCGAGAAACAAAGAAGGACTCGGAGGCAGGAACACGAGAGTGGTGTTATTCAATTCAGTAATTGAAGAAAACAGAATAGAGAAAGGCACTAACAATTTAGGGACCTCCCATTGCACCACAGCTTCCCCAAGTAGCCGGACGTGAGGCCAGGATGCCCTCGGACGCGAGGTGAGCACTGAGAATCTGGTTTCTGACCGTTCTGCCTTCATTTCTTTGTCCACAGCACCATGCCCCAGACTTGCTATCGCCATCGCACCCACGGAGCTTGCCCAGTGTGTTGAACATTTGGTTGGAGAACTCAGCTAGGTCGCATTGAACAACGAGAGGGGAGAAAAGAAGGATCGCAAACGTTTGGCACTGCCGTGTTTGCCATTGCGTCCAACTTGATCCAGGACGTCGAGAATGAGATAGCGGCCCTTAGAAATACATAAAGATGGCAGAACCTTCAGATGCAGGCTAGAGGCTTTGAACATCTTGGAACGACCTTGCAATATTTGTGCTAAAGCTTGGAATGTGCAGCGGCCCTTGGAAGGCAATGCCGGCACTGCCGAGGCTCTTGTCACGGCATTGGAAGAGCACAGCCTTGGAAGGCTATTTACGTTTTTCCGACATAGACCGCGAAATTATGCCCATCCATCATTAGACGAAGACGGACGGTAGCGCCAGAGCGCATTAATTGTGGACTGGATGACCTGTTGAGTAATGTAAGCGGCCAACAGTGTAGAATAAGGGGGGTGTAGGCTCCCGGCTAAGGCAAGCACTGATGAGTAAGATAAGCAAAAACTAGGGTCTGCAGGTGGGCGCTCCAGATGATGATCGTTTCGGGGTTTTGGCGACATAGTGAGAGACATGGCATCTAGAACCAAAAATGAGGGCCCCATTCTGCACCAGGTATTCGGCATCTGCTCTGGAAGCGAGAGCCACTCGAAATGGCAGTCTCTTCTTGGTTAGGGGAATGTCGTTGCCACCCATGACTGACACAGCTTCGATGTTCCCCGTGAAGCCGCCTTTGAGCAACCACTCGTTGTAGCGACCAACAAAGTCATTGTAACCTGGCTCTCCTTCTTGGGGGAGTACCGGAACATCGTGAATGACCACAGGGTGCCAAAATCCGCCATGGTCGACCCAGGGACAAGGGTGACGCTTTGGGAATCGCAAGAGCTGAATGGCCACCCAGATGGCAGGTGCGCATTCCATAGCCTTGGCTGCTGTATATTTGTCGTCGTGCACGAAGTTGATAGCGAGGTTTCCGTTCTGTGTCCACCGAACACCGTCCGGGCGAAGACAAGCCACGTCAGGGGATTTCATAAGGGCAATGAAAAGAGCAGTTGGATGGGGTTGGATAGAGGGTCCTGGCTTCTCGAGGTCCAAGCGGAAGATTAGGTCTGCTTTTAAGCGAAATTTCGCAGTAGGACGACTCTGGCATTGGTTGGTGATAATTATCTTGGCCTCCGTCGGCGTTTCAGCACGATCAGTGGCAGTGTCTGTCACGATCTCCACGTACGTGGCAATTTTAGCAGGGGTTGGAGTGGGAATCGGAGTGGGGGTCGTGTCTGTGGGCACCGTCATGGTGCCCTGACGTGGTGGGGCCACTAAGATATGACAAAATAAGGCCCGAAGAACCTCAGTTGTGTGATCGGTGAACGTCGGAGAGGCGATGGGCGTAGCGGTGTCGAGGATGAGTGTCAACGCAGCAAGGGCAGAGTCAAGCAGAGATTGGAGTCGAAGGTGATGGGCTGAGGTGAGGTCTGTAGAAGGCTGCCAGCCACCAGAAGTAGGCTGAGGGGTCGGAGAGGGGGCTGGGGGCGCCAGGACGTGTGCCGGCGCCGTTTGATCATGGTGGCTACTGCGTGAGAACATCCTCCCGGATACAGCCCTTATATCGAGGATGTGTTTACTCATGCGCACAGCGCGCTCAGTCCGATATGCCTGTGGGTCCACCCTGAGCCTTGATGTAGGAATCCCAGCCCCTCAAATGGCGACGAAGGCTGTAGATCAGATAAAGCACAGTCCGTGATATTGTTATTGTCTGATCTGAGGTCTAGACAATGATATTCGTTAAAGACAATTTTGAATTCAGAGAGGGAATTCAAACGATGAGCTGAGGCTGTCTCCGATTTTTCAAAATTCATTTAACAACAACCATTCACAAAGACAAGTGTGTCGGTTCTTCTCTCTCACAGGGCTGGGGCCTAAAAAAAGGGGAAATTTGAGTTAGTTTCTATATTCAAAATTTATTGATAAATTTAAAGCCGCCGAAAATCTGATTTGATTCGCCAGATTTCAGGGCCCGCAAAATTTAATCAGTAATCTAATCTTTTAACATCCATTTAAGCTCCCGCTAAACCTTAAATATAAATTCAAGTTTCCGACGGCGGTAAATTTATTACAATATTTTGAGTTTAAAAACTGACTTAATTCCCCTCTTTTTTTAGGCCCCCTTACAGTACCTCAAAAATTTGACTTGCGCCGCAGTTCAGCACTTTAGATTCCTGAATTTCCGCCATTTTCTCGAGAGGTGAGCAGGAGTGGTCCATTCTTTCCCAGTGAACTTACCATGAGTCCCCAGAATCATGAATACTACCCAGAATGTACCCCCGAGTTTCCAGGCGGGGCAGACAGCAGTTGTGGCGGAAACCAAAAGATTCATGAAGAGACTGGAGAGGGCGTTTAGACGACTAGGAGTCCCTGTATTGCTGCGGATGGGAGGGGAAGGTCCCTGGGACGTCTTCGGGTACGTCACTTACCGATCAATGCTTCAGTCTAGGTTAAAAACCTGACCGCCACATTCTCTAGTTGGTCAAATTTAACACCGATTCATCCGTTGGTGGTCAGCCGCGAGGGGTTTTCCGACCTGTACATATTTCCTGCTGCCACGCGCTTGGATTTGGACGCCTCCACCTTGTATGTCGTCCAAGTGAGGGACCCCTGGCTTGAGCGTATCATAGGAGGACCGGTACAATGCGTCTTGGGACAACGAAGGTGGTTAATGTCGGCCGTGGCATCCTTAGAAGGCGCATTAGTGTTCCCTACCTCTCTTCAGCCTTGCTAACGACCATCACAGAGCTCTTCTGGTTGGCGAGTCTGTAGACGCGTGTGGCTCAACCTCAAAGAGAGCGCTGGACACATGTATTACCATAACCACCAATATCTGAACTAGAAATGCACTTACCCATTGCCCCTGTGCGCCTTGACTGTCCGCGAGACCGCAATATTGAGAAAATGTGAGTTCGTCGGTTTTGATCGCAAACACTCAACACGAAATTCCACGCTCCTGGGGCATTTTGCTGCGTCGGGGTTTTTTTTACCGTAATTATGGATGTCCAGCGCAACTTCTCCCCAAGTTTCGAGATCTCGTCTAGTACGCCACCTTGGTCGACGCCCACTGATTCTATTAAATATGTTTTGTATTCCGGTGCCCGGATACATAAGGGGGAGCTCGCTAATACAGAGTTTCGTTTCGCAACTGAAGATTCCGAATATTTACAACTAATCCTCATTAAATACATATTCGCTAAGATCCATACCATAAGTATCTAGCTCAAAGCTAAGTGCAGCCCTACGTGCAGTGTCATGCTCCAGTATTTTCATTGATTCTTTACAGCAGATGGTAGTACCAAGGGCGCGAATCAAAAAATACCCGTTTTGGGCAGTTTCCGATTCTTGCGACCGATTTGCCCATATCTCGGTGAGTGGGGCACAGATTGAGATGAAACTTAGCCAGATAATTCGGCTTAATTCGCGCGCAATTAGTGATAGAGAAACATTGGAAAAAATATTATATCTTGCATTTTCCCATATATGAAGTCCCTCCGACTGAAAATTCCGAATATTGAGCTCAAATCTTGGCCGAATGAGCTAGAAGTTTGTTATGGGCTACACCAACACGTTTAAAGTGAACTGATAGAGCCAAAAGTATGGATATATCCTTACCTGCCTTGATACCTCATTTGAAGCTTTTTGTATAGCAAACACAGATCTTGTCGTGGCTTTTATAATTATTCGCACTTTTGGCTCTACCACTTCACTCCAAACGTGTCGACGTAGCCCCTAC